CTTCGGTGACTCCGCCGTATCTAGAACCGCCCGGTTCACTCCTCTTCTCACAAACCCTAGGCTGGATACATTTTACTATGTCGAACTGTTAGGGATCAGCGTCGGAGGCACGCCTGTTTTCGGCATCTCCGCTTCACATTTCAAGCTCGATTCGAACGGAAATGGTGGAGTCATCATCGATTGCGGTACCTCCGTCACTCGATTAAACCGACCGGCGTACATAGCCTTGCGCGACGCCTTCCGTGCTGGAGCCTCGAGTTTGAAATTGGCCCCTGAGTTTTCCCTTTTCGATACTTGCTACGACTTATCCGGGAAAACGACGGTGAAGGTTCCGACGGTGGTGCTACATTTTAGAGGCGCTGACGTGTCGTTACCAGCGTCCAATTATCTTATCCCGGTCGACGACAACGGGAGGTTCTGCTTCGCCTTCGCTGGAACGACCAGTGGGCTGTCCATCATCGGCAACATTCAGCAGCAAGGATTCCGGGTCGTGTACGATTTGGACGACCAGTGGGCTGTCCATCATCGGCAACATTCAGCAGCAAGGATTCCGGGTCGTGTACGATTTGGCGGGTTCCCGGGTCGGATTCTCCCCTCGTGGTTGTGCCTGATGTCGACGGACCGACGTAATGCAAGGCCGGGAAAATCCTCCCGCCGCCGTCTGTCCATTTCCTTTTTTCAGTTCAGTCGTGATGATTAAAAATAAAGAAAAAGAAAAAAGGAAAAGGTTTAAACAGACTAGCTGAGCTGTATCAGTATCACAAAATTGTTGGAGAAAGGAGTATATGGACTCAGAACGGTGTCGTTTAATGTTTACTATTTTACTTGACTTCTTCTATCTTTACCCTTTGAATATTTTAGTCTGCCAAATCAGTGTCTTATTTCAAATAAATAATTTAAAATAAATTAAGGTTGAGTTGATAATTAATCTGCCAAATCAGTGTCTTATTTCAAATAAATAATTTAAAATAAATTAAGGTTGAGTTGATAATTAAGCTGAGTCAAATATTTTTTTTATTAGGCCCAGTTAGTGTAAAAATATATTTTATTTTACGGTTAAATTGAAGAAAATTATAACTTTAAAAGTTAGAATTTCATATTTATTATTTAATATAATTTTATGAAATATTTTCTATAATCTGCTAAATGACTAATTTCAATATTTAAAAATTCTATTTTTTTTAATTAGTAAACTTATAATTTAATTTTAAATATTTCTATGCTTATGTTTTATGTAAGGTTAATATGTAATGCTTAATTATAATTTTTTTAAAAAGTAAAGAGTATTAGTGGGAAGAAAGAGACACAATTTGGAATTCAAAACAATAAGATATTATAAATCTAGTCTAATCCTTAAATTTATAAATTTTAATGTTAGGTAAATTTGTTAGTCTTAACAAAAAAAATTAATAGATAAATATTTTATACTAACTAATATAAAATTCAAAGTTTATATAAAGCTCAATTTTCTACACCAACTCACGAATTATAATAATAATAATAATATATATATATTAAAGTTTAAGAATATTACATAATTTTTAAAGTTTTGGAGGCATTTTTTTTTTTAAGTTAGATAACATTCGATATTAGTTTAGTCATTATTTTTATTATTAATCATATAAGTAATATTATTATTTTATATGGTTAAGTTAATAAAATTATTTTTAAATTTTAGAGGGCTTTTTTAACTCTCAAACGTTTCAATAATTCAAAAACTTTTTAAAAGCAAGCCTCAAAATTATCTTTATTATTTGCTTTTATAAACTTTATTAATACTATGGTTTAAAAAATATTCATACTTCAAAAATACCTTTTGATTTTTTAAAACTATCTTTAAACTTTTTTAAGAAAATAAAAAAAACATTTAAATGAATTTTTAAAAATAACGTTAAAAAGTTTGGATATAATCTCGAAGTGTCAATCAATGATTAGAAAAAAATGGTAATACTAATTTTAAATTTTATTTTTTTAAATATAATATTAACTCTAAGATATTTTTTAACTTTTAAATAAGTAACAAAAAAAAAAAAAATCAAATTCAAATATATCTTTTAAACAAATTACTATGGCTTACATAAATTAAAAAATATATATATATATTTTTTTTTCTACAATTTTTTTGAAAATTAATAGATATTTAGTTTATAGATAATTTTATTAATTTAGCGTATATATATTTTTCATTTTGCCGTATGGAGCACAAGGGTAAGATGGAGTATCCAACGACGTCGTTAAGGAGGCGCCATCTTGGTGATGTGAAGCACGGGGTTTTAGCTAATTCCCTATTAGCTCAACTTCTCGCTCTGCGCATTACTCCCCATTTTCTTCCTTCATTCTTATGAATCCTTCCTTCTCGCATGGAGCTTCTTTCTCCCATCTCCTCTTCTCCCTCTTCAATAACCACTCCTTCCGTTTCACTCTTCCATGGAGCTTCTTTCTCCCATCTCCTCTTCTCCCTCTTCAATAACCACTCCTTCCGTTTCACTCTTCCCTGCCAAATTTCCAATTCTAAATTGGCATAACAAAACCCAATTCAGGATTCAACAACCCGCCTCCAAAATCTACAGATACCCAACTTTTAATCTTCCAAGATGTAGAACCAACTTGATAGTTTTCGCTAATTTCCCTCGTCCCACCAGACGCGGCAAATCTTCCAAGATGTAGAACCAACTTGATAGTTTTCGCTAATTTCCCTCGTCCCACCAGACGCGGCAATTCGCTTCGGAAGAAACTCACCCAGGAGCAACAGGTACGTCGAATTCCCATTCCCGACAATTTAAATCCTGATTTTCAATTGCGCGAACGAATTTCTGATCATAGTGAGACTGCCAGTCGTGTTGGTGGTGATGTTAGTGATAACACTGTTGAAACAAAACCGAAAGGTTTAGGTGAATCTGTTTTGTGGAATAGATTAGAGAATTGGGTTGATCAATATAAGCAGGATATTGAGTTTTGGGGGATTGGTTCTGGTCCTATATTTACGATATTGGGTTGATCAATATAAGCAGGATATTGAGTTTTGGGGGATTGGTTCTGGTCCTATATTTACGATATTTCAAGACTCAGATGAGAATGTCAAATGGGTTTCTATTAATGAGGATGAAATTTTAGCGAGAACCCAAGTTGAGAGAGTTGATTTGGATGACACAAATGGAGTGAACCATAAAATCTCGGCTGCAAGAAGGATTGCAAGAGAAATGGAGAGTGGGAAGAATGTGCTTCCAAGGAATAGTTCAGTCGCCAAGTTTGTAATTGAAGGAGATGATCAGTCTACTGTTCTGAAAGCTGCTCAGGGTTTCAATTTTAGGCCTGAGGTTTTTACCAAGTTTTCACGAGCTGGGGGCTTAGTTCTATGTAGTTTTCTCTTACTTTTTTCTTTGAAGAAATTGTTCACTTTCAAAAAGGAGGAGGTTGAGTATAGCGAATTCGAGAAAGAAATGATGAGGAGGAAGATCAAATTTAGAAAGGGGAAAGAGGTGTTGGAGAATGGTAGAGTTGAAGTTATTCAAGAACGTGCAGATCAAATTTAGAAAGGGGAAAGAGGTGTTGGAGAATGGTAGAGTTGAAGTTATTCAAGAACGTGCAGAACCACCTAAGGTGTCATTTGAAAAGCCCAAATTAGATAAGCAAGAACTTATGCGTACTATAGCAAAAGAAAAATCGAAAGCATCAGCTACCAATCTAGGTTTAGTTGAGTCTACGGAGGCTTTGAATGAAAGTGTTGTAGATTTGAGTAACAAAATTCAGGAAATAAGAGAGATGGCACGCGATGCACGGGAACTTGAGGCACGAGAAGACCCCTTTTCTGTTTCTGATGAAAGCAGTCTCTTGAATGGATGCACGGGAACTTGAGGCACGAGAAGACCCCTTTTCTGTTTCTGATGAAAGCAGTCTCTTGAATGGAAAATTGCCAAACGAAGATGACATTGTTGAACATACAGATGAAGGTTCCTGTTTTCCGGCTGATGTTTTAGCACAGGATGAGCATGTGCTTGAAAGTGTTGAGAGTGAGCTCCCACACAGTGTAGCTTCTGAAGAGAAAAAGGATTTGCAAATATCTAGCACGTCAAGCGTGGAAGTGCCACTTAATGGCTATAGCACCTCATGGGATGTTAAAGATTGTAAGACTTCTTTAGGAGTTATGGATACAACGCAATCTGAAACTTACTGTGATACATGTTAAAGATTGTAAGACTTCTTTAGGAGTTATGGATACAACGCAATCTGAAACTTACTGTGATACCGAGAAACTAAAAACAGATTCCGAACAAAAGAAACTAAAAATCTTGAGAACAGTGAAGGAAGCTAGGGAGTATCTCTCTGAAAAACAACAAAAACAAATGCCTGATGAGAAAATTCAAGGCATAACTGGCTAGGGAGTATCTCTCTGAAAAACAACAAAAACAAATGCCTGATGAGAAAATTCAAGGCATAACTGCACAAGAATTTGCTGCTGCTCCAGGGCTTTCAAATGATAACATGTTGGAAAATGTGGTGAACAAGGAAGCAGATTCAGAAAATATACTGTTCAAATCTTCCTTTTCATTTGAGGCATTAGATTCGTCATCTTTGATTAGTGACAATGTTGATTCAGCACACAGTGATAAAAGTTCCATCTCACTCGAGGACGACCGCTCTAAAAGTTCTGTGGAAGGAGGACCCTCAGTAGGCGGCAGTCAAGATCTCCACAAGTCATTGGATCGTGAAAGCAATGATCGTGATGCAGAAACCATGCCGTATGGAGAAACAAAGAGCTGGATGGAAGATAATTTTGATGAACTTGAGCCTTTTGTTAAGAAGATTGGAGTTGGCTTTAGAGATAACTATATGGTTGCTAGAGAGAAAGGTGAACAGCAATCTGATGCCATTTCTACATTTGCACAACTTAAGTATGAAAATGACAATGAAGAGGAGCTTGAGTGGATGAAGGACGACAACCTTAGAGATATTGTTTTTAAGGTTAGAGAAAATGAACTATCGAACCGAGATCCATTCTATTCAATGGATCCAGAGGAAAAGCGTACGTTCTTTAAGGGTCTTGAGAAGAAAGTCGAGAGAGAGAATGAAAAGCTGTTGAAGTTGCATAAGTGGCTCCACTCCAGCATTGAAAATCTTGACTATGGAGCAGGTATTTCAATGTTCTTGAGCTTTTTATGTTAAATAGTTCTTATCCTGATTCCCCCTTATGTTCTTTTCTCTAGATGGCATCAGGAGCTTTTTATGTTAAATAGTTCTTATCCTGATTCCCCCTTATGTTCTTTTCTCTAGATGGCATCAGCATATACGATCCACCCGAAAAAATCATTCCCCGTTGGAAGGGTCCTCCTTTAGAAAAGAACCCTGAGTTCATCAATGACTTCCTGGAGCAAAGAAAGGAAATTTTCGCTGTGAAAGCTGGTTTGCCTCCCTGAGTTCATCAATGACTTCCTGGAGCAAAGAAAGGAAATTTTCGCTGTGAAAGCTGGTTTGCCTCTTTCTACGAATAAAGACGAGCAGAAGTCTTCTAATCCCGATGGTAGCATTGAAAATATCAATGATCCCAATATGACAATTCATAACAAAGAAAGGAAAGATTCTACGACAATTATAGAAAGTAGTGATGGATCCATCAGACGTGGTAAAAAATCAGGGAAGGAATTTTGGCAACACACAAAGAAATGGTCCCAGGGATTTTTGGAATCTTATAATGCAGAGACAGATCCAGAAGTCAAATCTGTTATGAAGGATATTGGAAAAGATTTAGATCGGTGGATTACTGAGAAAGAAGTGCAAGAAGCTGCCGAGTTAATGGACAAGTTGCCTGAGAGGAATAAAAACTTCATGGAAAAGAAATTGAACAAGCTCAAAAGAGAAATGGAAATGTTCGGACCACAGGCTGTCGTTAGCAAGTACCGTGAGTATGCAGAAGAAAAGGAAGAAGATTATTTGTGGTGGTTAGATCTTCGCCATGTACTTGTGAGTATGATTAAAACTCAACTTATGATGTTACAAATACTTTTGGAACATTGTTTCACTTCAACTTTCATTTGAATATTTTGAAATTCTTTGTGATTTGATTTTGAACACTTCATTTAACTTTACAGTGCATCGAACTGTATACGGTGCAAGATGGAGAGCAGAGAGTAGGATTCTATTCCTTGGAGATGGCTGAAGATCTTGAACTTGAGCCAAAGCCATGCCATGTTATTGCTTTTGAGGATGCTGGTGATTGCAAAAACTTTTGCTATATCATTCAATCTCATCTGGAAATGTTGGGGACTGGCCATGCGTTTCTTGTCGCACGTCCACCTAAGGTATGGAATATCTCATCTGGAAATGTTGGGGACTGGCCATGCGTTTCTTGTCGCACGTCCACCTAAGGTATGGAATAACTTGTTTTCGAGCTTCAAGCTTTCTAATACATTTGACAAACTCGAAAGTGGCTAATGACATTTTGCATTGTCTGTACTTATTTCCCCTTAATCATCTGATGGATTATCTGAATGATCTAGCAAACGTTTGTTCTTACCGAACCAATATCCGTTTGTGGAACTTCCAAACCTTGGGATTTCTCCAATCATTGTGAATTTATATAATTTGCAGGTTGTTGTGGTAATTAAATCAAAACCTTGGGATTTCTCCAATCATTGTGAATTTATATAATTTGCAGGTTGTTGTGGTAATTAAATCATTACTTTGAAGTTACTGTGTGTGCATAGACAATCTTCCTGTTTGATTAATCTCTTTTTGTGATCGTCAACTATTGAGACAACCCGTCGTATTTTGTATGTATTTTTCTTTCTTTTCGTTTTGTTGTTATCCGGATATCTTATCGATTTTACTTGCATAACCGTGTTTCTCTCTTGTTAAAAAATTTGCAAGGATGCCTTTCGGGAAGCCAAAGCCATTGGTTTCGGTGTCACAGTCATTAGAAAAGGTGAGCTTAAGCTCAATGTGGATCAAACGCTGGAGGAAGTGGAGGAACAAATCACTGAAATCGGTAGCAAAATGTACCATGATATGATCATGAAGGAGCGTTCTGTAGATATTAGTTCTTTAATGAATGGTGTACTTGGTTTGAGCAACACACCAACAAGGAGGTACCTTTTGATCCTTGATATATATATATATATATGATACTTTAATGGTTTGTTTGACTTGGCTTTCACTTTGTGAAGTAATCTCTTCTTGATTGTTCACTTTCTTTTCAGAGGAAAATCAAAACGAAAGTTAAAGAAACTGAAGAAAAAATGACTAGAAGCCATGACATAAATATAAGTTGCACATTCCTGCTGACCGACTCCGACCGTCCGACGATGCTGAGGGCTGGAATGGTCGATCCCGGACAGCATTTTTGATGGAAAACTCTCCTGGGTTCTCATCTTGTTTCATGCACTTGTGGAGGTGGAGGTACAGCATTTTTGATGGAAAACTCTCCTGGGTTCTCATCTTGTTTCATGCACTTGTGGAGGTGGAGGTGGAGGTACGTAAACTGATCGATTTCGATGCGAAAAAATAGTTACAAATTGCTTCAGCCGTGTTATGTCAAAACAAAGATTTTGAGATCAAGCATTTTGATCAGAGCTATTTACTCCACTGTTGACAAAGCTAGGAAATGTTAGTGTCATGTCCCTGTAAGCAAAGAGAACTTATATTATGATGTTTGCCATTGATAAAACAGGCGTTTTATGTCACCATAGAGACCCTGCTATCGTTCAGACAATTGCAGTCAGACAATTGCATTGACTTACAGATGGTTTGTACTAGATTTTACCTCTTCATGTCCGATGAAGCCAGTACATCCCAGATCGTACAACTTAAAATGTATCTAGGAACTCAATATTAAATCAATCCGAACTCTTAAGAAACCATACAACAAAGCGTAATCAATCATTAGAATCATCTTCTTACATTCGATCAATCTTGACAGTCTTTGGAGTGTTCGAATGAAAGACTCTAGTTTCTTATCGCGTCTAAACTGTCTCGCCGCTACAAGGACTCGATGTTGTGATGATTCATGGGATTTTTTCTTATTATTTTAAGGCCGATATCAAAACATCACCCCCTAACATCTTTATGGTGCAAGGACAGAATTAAAATAAGATTATTTATGAATTTTTTTAAAAAAAGAATGATATATTCCTAATTTGATTTGGAATTTCTAATTGGATTATTAGAATATAGATTAAATATACACCTTCTCTTAGATGAAGATCAAAAAGAGAGAGGAAGAGTAAAATTTCATACTACATTGTTCTAAGCGAGGCCTCTTATCGTAATAAACATAAGCGGACTCTTATCGCACTGTTAAATTCTACATATTCTAAGCGAGGCCTCTTATCGTAATAAACATAAGCGGACTCTTATCGCACTGTTAAATTCTACATAAATTAATAGACATCGAACTAAATTGTAATTTCTTTTATGTATTCAAATAGTCTTTTTTATTTATTGTTTATAAACATCTAATAAAAATTAAATTCAATCTAGAAATGAAATTGATTATGGTTACTATGAACAAAGAAGAATGCTATAAAGTTATGATGCCATTTGTAAATTAGAAGGCAAAAAAATGAGCCATTTCCATAGTGAAAAGGAGCTGCGATGGGATCAAGAAGTTGAAGGTGGGATGATGGAGCCCTGGCCATTTCCATAGTGAAAAGGAGCTGCGATGGGATCAAGAAGTTGAAGGTGGGATGATGGAGCCCTGACAACAGAACCAAGCAACCACAATGCCTAGCAGAGCACCAGCAAGGACCTGCAATGGCGTGTGCCCAAGCAGCTCTTTCAGCTTTCTTTTTCTTATGGGATGGCCTTCAAACAAGTCCTCAACGATCATGCCCAAGCAGCTCTTTCAGCTTTCTTTTTCTTATGGGATGGCCTTCAAACAAGTCCTCAACGATCAGATTAAGAACCTGCATTATCATTTCATTCCAAATCTTTATAATAATATACCTTACTTGTTGGGAAAGCAATTACATAAGTCTAAAATATGCCGCATTTAACACTAGTTTAATTAATTAAGTCATATATTCTCGAACAAGATGATAAAGGTTTTAATCTTTTCATCCTTACATGTTATTGGAGTCAAACGCTTATGACACGATACTTTCTTTATAAAAACCACAAATTAAGATCGATGCAAGTGACATAAGCCACAGATACCACCGTACTATCACTTAAGTTTTGGGTAAATTTCCTGAAGTAACCATCTAACCTTACAACATTTGATGACTTTGGAAATCATGACGCCAAAGACATCTAAATCTAGACACTGGATGTGAGATCCCATATCGATTGGAGAAGAAAACAAACAATCCCTTATAATAAGAGTGTGAAAATTTCTCCCTAATAGACGCGTTTAAAAATGTGAGATTGACGATGATACGTAACGGGCCAAAACAGACACTATGTACTAACAGTGGGCTTGAGTTGTTACAAATAGTATCAGAGCCAAACACTGTGGCAGTATGTCAACGAGAACACTGGCTCCCAAGGAAGGGGGTGGATTGTGAGTTTCCACATAGGTTGGAGAGAGGAACGAAGCATTTCTTATAAGGGTGTGAAAACCTCTCTCTAGTTGATGCGTTTTAAAACCGTGAGAGGTGATGCATAACAGGTCAAAGTGGACAATATACACTAACGGTGGGCTTGGGTTGTTACAAATGGTATTAGAGCAAGTCATCGAGTAATGTGCCAGCAAAGACACTGGCCCTCACGGGGGTGGATTGTGAGATCTTACATTGGTTAGAGAGAGGAACAAAATATTTTTTATCCGAATGTAGAAGTCTCTCCTTAGTAGATACATTTTAAAATCGTGAGGCTGACAATGATACGTAATGATTACTTAGGATATCATTACGAAGCATATCAGCTAACAGAACTCCATACAGTAAGGAACCATAAGCCAGATAAAGCCATGTCAACTCAGCCTCTCCTCCCCAACACACAGAGAAAAACAGAGAAGAAAGCCCATAAATGCAAAAGATCCATATTGATCGGCAGCAGAACTAAGTACTAACCAACATATTCAAACAACTCAATCTGAGAAAGGAAACTTCAAAGTTTTAAGATTATTGTAAGCAAATTTATGTAAAACAAACAAGATTTTGTACCTCAGCTTGCATGCCGGTATGTCGACGAATACCAATTGCATCATACATGACAATAAGACTAAACCCCAAGCAGACTGGAAATAGCGAGTCCGCAACGCCATGACAAAGAGCCACAGAAGTCGTCAAAGCGGTGCACAATGCAGAGTGAGAAGAAGGCATTCCACCACAACCAAACATTATCTTCAAATCCCATTTCCTTTCCACGAAAAAGTTCAACAAAACCTTCGTCGATTGAGAAAAAAATTATCTTCAAATCCCATTTCCTTTCCACGAAAAAGTTCAACAAAACCTTCGTCGATTGAGAAAAAAACCATGCGAACAATCCCGAAACAAATGTCGGATTCGTCGCCAATGTAGCAACGAACGGACTAATACGGTGCTTCACCGTCGCGGTAATGCTTATCAAAGCAATCTCGAAACTCCCGCTCTGTAAGTAATTTCCACTCCATCCACCATCTACAAATCTCGCTGAAACACTCTGAGCTTTCCGGAGATTCGAACGAAAATTGCGATCACCGCCTTCAGATTTCTGGCTTTTGGCGCTTGGACGAGAGGTAGAAGACAAATCATGTGGAAATCTGCGAAGCTTTTTCGATTGAATGAACCGAAAAGACAAGAAGGTAGTGGAGAGAGGACGAGGGGAGCCATTGAAAACGGGGGCACTCGATCTAAGCCCGACACTAGCAGTTTCCATAAGGGGTTTTGGTTTCTCGGGAATTTGAATCGCTAGATGTGAAGAACTTTGGAGAGGGTTCTAAAGTAACTTGCGAGTCAAGCATATGATTCTCAAAGCATATGCCATTTCCAAACCTTTTATCTATCACCACATTGACAGATCCTCTAGAGACATCAAACAACCTGTATTCCATCATTCATGTTACATTCAAACTTTAAAAAGTTGCATGATAGAATCAAGATATCTTATGAAGTGATTCTAATTTAGAGTTTAAATATAAATTTTCTTTGATCATTCATGTAAATCCAATTTATTATTTTTTGGATTTTAACATTATGATCTATGATCTTGCAGAAATGTAACATATACGCAAACAATTTAACAATTTTTTGGTGATCGTCTATCGATCATCAAGTTAGGAATGAAGTTTAAACATTCAAACCCACTGCAAACATTTTTTTTATTACAACTTTACAAATTCCAGATTACAAAGTTATAAAGGATATACATTTGTTCCC